GTAAAGGGAGAAGCCCCTTGACTATATGGATTGGGTTGGATGGTTTTAAAAGGTGATGAGGGATAGGTGATTTAGATAGGCCATGTGAATTTGTAATACTCCCTTAGACATGTGGCCTAGTCACTGGTGAAAGTGATAGACAAATGAGAGATAATACAAAAGTCTCGGTACAGATACTTAACTTATAAGAAATACCCAAAACCCAGCTCTAATACAATATTAGAATTTTTGGATATCTACCAGCCAATCCCATTAAATGAAATTAATTATTCATAAGTCTTGTTGACATTTTAAATACACCATTAAGTCCTCAACTGTCCATATTACCCTCACTACACCTACCAACACCATTAAGTCTTTCTCTGTTGTCATCAATGGTGCTCGCATCAACCATCATCCTTGTCTTCCTCCATCGCTACCATCATCGCTCACCCCACACCATTGTCATCCTCCCTCGTTGATTGCCATCGACATCACTTCTGTTGCCACATTCCTCCATTACCAATCTATTGTCTTTGATGACGAACTTCTTGGATGGCTTCAGATCTAAGTATTTTCAATGCAGATCTACTATCTTCAGCTCCAATCTAGTACTGTACAAGGTTTCCAATGAGATCAAGACTTTTTAAAGACCGCCGCCGCCTCCACTACTGTCATTGTTGGTGACCTCAACTGACATCTTCTTTCAATTTTACCATTGCTTCCACCGCTCTTTGTTGTCGGGTCTTCTCTCTCTCTCTCTCTCTGTATATTAAGGAAGATCCCAGTGATAAATATGTTTAAACCAGTGATAAATTTGTTTAAACTAGTAGTAAATCAGTGATAAATTTATTTAAACCAGTGATAAATTTGTTTAAATTAATGATAAATCAGTAATAAATTTATTTAAACCAATGATAAATTTGTTTAAACCAATGGTAAATTTGCAGTGTTGAGGCTAGGAGTAAAAATAAAAAACACTGTTTGATTTTTTTGGATAGACCTGCTGAGTAATAAGACCAGTCCATAGGACCGGCCCGTAACTCTCCCTAGAATTTAGAAGAATCCAACCCAAAATCAATTTACTTTACATGGAGAGGCCCATGGACTATTTAAGTATGGATTGTTTAGAGACAATATAAAAACAAATCTCTAATACTCCTTACAGATAAACTCATTCCTAGTTTTGTTACAAATTTATAATTTTAGAGACATCCAATCCAAAACCACTATTAAATTATATAAATTGAGTGGTTCAGAAAGGTGATGTGAAATAAGTCTCTAAAAGCACCTCTCCAAAAAGCTATTTAGAATATTTTACATGGTCTCACCATACCATAAACATATTTATATAGGAAGCCATTTAAGAGAGCCTCAATAGCAATCTCAATTTTCAGTTATTGTCTGCATTAGTATTGGCATTTCAGGGCACTAAATTGAGAGTCCTTAAATTGGGTTGGGCCAGTGCTGAACTCGGACATTCTGGACCCAGAACTACCTACAAGCCACTCTCTAGATCGAGTCCATTTGGCAACATGTATTTATAATTTATTTCAAACTCTGGTTTTAAAAATAAAAAATAAGTTTAAAAAATAAAATATTAATTTTAAATTGAATAAGCAGAAAACACAATTAGTCACAAGGGCGGTGGAGGCTCCTGTGCGTGATCTAGCCTAGGTTGGCTAGCTACTCCATTTGCAAAACCTAAGTCTCCTTTATAGCCCAAACCCAAGTCCATTGATGTTCTATATAAACACTGCAACAATGTGGGATAGACTAGTTTACCATTCTTTAACCAATATCAAAATGTATTTATAATTTATTTCAAACTCTGGTTTTAAAAATAAAAAATAAGTTAAAATATTAAAATATTAATTTTAAATTGAATAAGCAGAAAACACAATTAGTCACAAGGGCGGTGGAGGCTTGTGTGCGTGATCTAGCCTAGATTGGCTAGCTACTCCATTTACAAAACCTAAGTCTCCTTTATAACCCAAACCCAAGTCCATTGATGTTCTATATAAACACTGCAACAATGTGGGATAGACTAGTTTACCATTCTTTAACCAATATCAAATGTTGAATTAAGAGTCAAATTCTCATTCACTTCTTAATCGTTGAGCAAATAGAAGTTTATGGTTCGTCTAAACAGATGCAGACCCCTCATAAAAAATGAATGATTGATGAAATTTATCAACCACTGTGACAGTTATAGGTACATACCATATGCACCATTTTGGGGTGTAAATAGTTTCACTTCTCATATATTTGAATAATGTTTTAGTGATCCAATTTGGATATCATATAATATAATGTGACATCTTTCATATACCCATCACCAATCACATATGTAAGCCCATCAAATAATGTAGTCAACTGTATATAAGACATCACATCTCATATATTTGAATAATGTTTTAGTGATCAAATTTGGATATCATATAATATAATGTGACATCTTTCATATACCCATCACCAATCAATCACATATGTAGAGCCCATCAAATAATGTAGTCAACTGCATGTAAGACATCACATCAAATAATACTTACATGATATCAAAATATTATCACATAAATAATGTTCCAAAAGTTATTGCAGCTCCTGCTTTGCCCTGGCACCGCTCAACTTTGAAATCTGGAAGCTTTATTTATGTCAACAAACAATACTAATGCTATGTTTGTGTTGGCTTTTTGGCTTTTCGAAGGGTATTTTTGTGAATGTGAGCGTGCCAGCAAGGATCAATCAGTCCTTACAGAAATTGTGATTGCCAACCAATTATCAGACGATTGTGTTTTAGTTCTTTTCAGCCTCAATGAAGAGGACTTTTACTGGTGGCTTGACTTAGGAGAAATTAAGAGAAATAACAGTGATATGAAGAACAATCGAAGTATTTCATAAAAATGAACACTTACAATGGTCCCAAACTCAGCCTCGAAGAAGGAAAATGACTAAAGTTTTATAAATTCAAAATTCATCTCCCTTACCCATAAACTAATATATTTTTAATTATTATACACCAGGTCAAATATAAGAAAGAAGTACTTTAAATCAAGGCATATAACTAAATTAGAATTTAATCTAAATCATCATTCTAATTCCCAAAAATCCTTGGCTCCCATCAATCACTCCAACCATTCAATTGTTTTAGTTTCCCATAAAAATATGTTAATATAACTATTTTTAAAATTTTCAATCATAACATGTATATGCTTATTTTATTTATATAAAGGAGATTATCCAAATTTTGGATAGTCCAAAATAATTTGATATTTTGTTATAACGTCTATGGTGTCAGCATTTTTTTGCAATTAACAAATATTCAATCTCTCACTTTCTATTAGTCTAATATTTCTAAAATGAGATTGCATATATAGAACACTATCCTGCCATCACTATCACCATTCCCTCTCCACCCTAACTCCATGCCACAATGACGACTTGAAAACCACAACCAGATTAAACATATTCTTGAAAGTGATCTTTATTGCCAACGAATTTCATTACAAAACTTGGATTAAACTGCTTGGGTAAACTAAGGGTTGGTTTGACAAGTTTTAAAAAAGTCAAAAAGTCACTATCCTATTTAAGTCACATCACCTCTCTAACACATCACTTCAAACCCAACCCAAACTTAACCCATATTTCATACAAAAGTAAAAAAAATACACTTATTTAGATCATCTCAAACAACCCCTAATTCTTAATAGTGGTTGAATCTGTCGTCCATTCATCTGATGTGACAGTTTTTTAAACTAATGGTTAAAATCAATCATCTGAGATATTGGTTGGTTGCATTGTTGTTTGATTTAATGCCTAATTGAAAACTGTACAAATGTTTGCGTGTAGATCTGTTGAAATGTCCATGCCTTCCAATTTAGAGCTGATATTTAATAGGTGCCACACTTGACCGATTAGTTTCCAATTTTGACCTTCCAGAATGTTGGCTCTTACTCTATTCATGGATGACTGCTATTTTAATGTTTTGGGTTTGCGTGTAGATCTGTTGAAATGTCCATGCCTTCCAATTTAGAGCTGATATTTAATAGGTGCCACACTTGACCGATTAGTTTCCAATTTTGACCTTCCAGAATGTTGGCTCATACTCTATTCATGGATGACTGCTATTTTAATGTTTTGGGTGGGGGGGTGAGATCAGAGCTAACTAATTAATAATTGAGTCAAATTAAAAATAGTGGGTTTGTTTAGTAGTGTCCTAGGCTTGAGTTGTATGACTTCATTCTTTTGCCTAGGTTTTTGTTATTTGCTGTTTTATTTGCTAGTTTTTAGTTTGTTTTCCTAGTGTGTTTTGAGGATGTTGCTGTTTGTAGTGACGCCTATTAGGACTGGTTCTGAACTTTGTTTTATATTTCTTCTTTTGATAATAAAATTTTTATTTACTTAGCAAAAAATAAAAATAGTATTTACTCTTCTTTTTTTTTTTGTATATCTCCCTATTTATTGTTGAGCCGCCTCCCTTACTTCTTTCATTTTTTATAACAGTCATGCTACGTAGCTCGAAAGCTACGTAGCTCGAATCCCCCTAATCGAAAACGTTGCCGTTTTTCTTTTTTTTTTTCTTTTTTTTTCAGAAGCAGAAATCAGGAGGAAGAAGGAGAGGAGAGGAGAGGAGGAGGAGGAAGGAGGAGGAGGACTGTAGGGGGCCTAATAACAGGGGAGGAGGAGGCAGGACTGGAAGCGGAGACGGCGGCCGGAACTGGAGTTGGAGCTGCTGCTGCGACGAGCTGGCGGCGAGGCGATGACGGCAGGCCGGAGCTGCGACGACGGCGGAGAGCTGCGACGACCACCAGCTGCTCCTCTTCCCCTCTTCTTCTCTCTCTCTCTCCCTCTCCCTCTTCCTCTCCCTTTTCCCCTCTTCTTCTCAGATCGGTTTCAGATCGAAAATGGAAGAAAAAATAGAAAAAAAAAAAAAAAAACTAATGCCCAAAACGACGTCGTTTTGGGCATTAGGGGGATTCGGGGGGCAAAATCCTCGAGCTACCAAACATTATTCTTTTTATAAATGTCATATAATCATATCCTAATATCACAATTCCTCAAAATATGCCTACACTCTTATTAATGTTTTTTCCCAAAAGTCAACTGTCTAGCCCCTCTGTATCTATTTTTTTTATCAAGCTCATGCTTATCTAATTTAATTAAAATAATGCTTCCTCTCTTTCACTCAGATTTTTTGCATAAACTAAATATATCCATCAAATATCTATACACATTTCTAATCTCTCATCATACGTCAGTCAACCAAATAAATTGTTCTCAAATTTTAAAATAAATAGATGAAATCATTCATATAATTTAAATTATTTTACAAATTCTTGTTTAACATATTGTGTTAATTATATTTAAAGATTATTTTCAACAAAGAATCTTTTAGCCAAAAAAATTTGCATCTAGAACTTGAAAAATATTTTTTGATTTATTAAAAAAAGTTGCTTCCAAAATTAATACAACAACTTCGTTTGTACATACATTTAAATATGAGACAAATGACCCATATCATATATGTTTTATTTTTTTAGATTTCATACATCAAATCATATTTTTTTCAATAATTCTATATATACATCCGGGCATACATATAAATAATTTAAACCAAATTATTACATATATTTATTCAAATTACATTTTATAGTAGGATAATGCTACGATTATTTTTTTGCATTGAATATGTCGTAGCATACTCTTTATAATAATTTTCTGAACAGGTTCGAGTTTAAATAATAATTATCAAATTAAGCATTACGTGGCGTGCCTAGGACTACTAAATAACGGAATTCTCCTTAATATTACTCTTTTTTTTTTGTCAATCGGTAGAAGAATATTTACAAATATCAAAAGATTATATTAAACTGGACAATCAGTCCAACAAGAAAAACAAGCCCAACAATAACAACCATTACAAGAAAAAGTCCATAATAGGAAATAAATAACCAATAGTTGCCTACGACAAGAATTAACCCTGACCTTTTAGTTGAGAGTGTACAAGAGTGACCCGTAAATAACTTCTCCATATTGTTTTTGTGACAATGATGACAGTGATCATATGGTCCAGAGTACATCTGTACAGCATCCTATATATACCAACCTATTGTGGAACATTTGCTAGATAATTAAGGTAGTACTGGTAGTGCCCAACATGGAAGTAACAGTAAGCTCTATTGTTACCTCCATTGCTTTGGTAACTTTCCTAACATGTGCATGGAGGGTAGTGAACTGGGTGTGGTTGAGGCCAAAGCAGAAAGAGAGGTGGCTGAGAGAGCAAGGTTTCAAGGGAAATCCATACAAACTGTTGTATGGAGACACCAAAGAGATGATATCAATGATGAGGGAATCAAGATCCACATCCATGGATTCATCCTCAGACGATCTTATCCCACACGTCCTACGGTTCCACCATCATAACATCAACCTTCATGGTATGTCTCATGTACTTCAATTCAAATTTCTTTACTTTCATGGGTGCAAGTTTTTTCAGTGTTTGGTACAAATCCTTCTTGTGTATCAGACTTGCATCCAAATCTTTTCTATGTGTAGTACAATTATTTTTGGATTGTCCCACTGATAAGCAATTGTCCCTAAATTATACTTGGTTCCTTTTAGGTTTCATTGTTTTCTTAGTTTTTACCTGGAGTTTCTTCTTCCCACTTTCATTAACGTTTTTAATTTTTCTCAACTTATTCTAAAAGCTAACGTCCGTCCAATTTCAGATGAAAAATGCGACATTAACTGCTACATAAGCTTTATGTATTTTTTTACCCTATACAGTAGTACCATGTTGGCGCTACATGGAAATAGGAAAAAATTACAAAGGTCATGAAATTAGTTTTAGAAGTAAATTAGGGGGGGGGTATGAATTGAGAGTCAAAGTGAGAAAAATGCTGAAACTTAAAGGGGGTAAAGCCTTTTATCCTATTACAATTATTTAAGTATATATGTTGTCTTCCACTAACCTAATGAATATTGGTGAACTGTCACACAGAATTACTATTATACCCAATATTTACAACTAACTAGGAGGACTTTTAGTATTAGTTATGAAAATTGGTATCTAATTTTGTCTTACTAATGCAGCCATAAGTATAGGCAAGTTCCTTTATTTTCTATGTTTGGTTGTTTTCTATTGATTGTTACATGACCTTTGAGTATGTTTTACCCTATAGACTCTCAACTAAGAGATCAAAGGGTCATCAACAAAGATTGAATTGGTTGTTTCTTCTCTATACGGGGACTCTTTCTTATGTTCTTTATTTTTTTTTCCCTACTTCGGAGCTCTTTCTTATATTGATATGATATGTTGAGCTTATAGGTAATATACATTGTTGTACTTTCTTAAATAGTTGATTGTCTAGTTTGATATAATAACTCTAGAAATTTGAAAATAATGACAAGGCAAAATATAATAATTTTCAGGTAAACATTACTTCCAATGGCTGGGCCCAACACCACAAGTAAGTATTGCAGATCCTAAACTGATGAAGGAGATCTTGTTTAACTATGAAGTCTTTCAAAAAAAAGTGCAAAACCCACTTGCCAAGTTCCTAGTGAGAGGGGTTTTGATGTGTGAGGGCGAGAAATGGGCTAAGCACAGAAACATTCTCAACCCAGCCTTTCATCTAGAAAAGTTGAAGGTAATTAATCTCTAATCTCGGCTTTTGTTTAAACACAACTGGATGCATATATAATATGAGAATGTGTGTTTGGATGAATTTTAAAACTTTTGAGAAGAGCAAAATTTTTTTATACCTAGCCATTGATTTTCCTTTGTTATCCATTTGTTTTTTCATTTTTGTTTAGGAATAACAATAAAGACTAAACCCATATCCATCCATTCCGTTAACACGAGTAACTATTCAATAGTCCCAGACAACCACGTGGTATTATTCGCATAGTGCTCCTAATTAATGACATAGCGGAAAATTTCACTAGTGAGACAATGTTGATCCATCTTTATTAGGTAGTCGAGAGACAAAGAATAAACTACTTAGTGTATTATTCTATTCCTCATTTGTTGGAAGCATTAAGTAATATAACTCATGATATTCTGAGACTACTAATAATTTTTTGTGCTAACAGTTTATTATTGCGCTACAATTGTTTATATTATACCCAAGACTAGCAACTTGAGTGTCTCATAATTGTTTATTGAACCTCAACAATGCCTCAACCTAAACTTGATGCCTTCTTGAGCTGTGCTTAACTATGTCTTTTATGTTTGTTATATAGCACATGGTACCAGCAATGTGCTTAAGTTGTTGTGAGATGATAAGCAAATGGGAAGTGCTAGTCTCACAAAAAGAGTCATGTGAGGTTGATGTATGGCCTTATCTTCAGAATGTGACAGGCGATGTGATTTCTCGAACAGCATTTGGTAGTAACTATGACGAAGGAAAAAAAATATTCCAACTCCAAACTGAACTAGGTGACCTTATAATCCAATTCGCACGATCAATTTACATTCCAGGGTGGAGGTATGTCTGAAATATATTTATTTATTTATATATATTAGTGCTATTGCATTACAATTTTAGCTACTTGCCAATTCTAAGTTACTTTACAAGTATAATTAGAATTACTTTTTTTCTTTTTATCAGCAAAAAAGTAATATTTTATTAATGATAATAAAACATTTACAAAAAACACAAGTGAGAATTACTTTCTTTTCTTTTTCACCTACCTACTCTAGAAAATTATTTTCCTATTGTTGAGCATGCGTTTCGTATTCTACAGTGCCCATACAATCTTTTAGTTTTTCTTTTAATACAATCTCTTTAAATTCAGAATTCACCAAGAATCCAATTTGTGAAATTTTTTAATTGTATTGGAATTAAGATTTCTAGGGTTGATTGAAAATTGAAAAATTTGTGGGAATTCTAGGGAGAGAGTAACAGAGAAGGGTTGGCTTGCAAAGAGATGAAAGTGAGTTTGTACTTTTCAATTGATGCAATGGAATATTTTTCTCTCTCAAAATCTCTGTTTATTTTTCTCTTTGATATGTGCGTGTAATTGTGTTCCTTTTTTTTTTTAAAAAAAAAGAAAATTTTAATAACTCAATAATGAAGTACATCAAGAAAATAAGGATTAAGAAAAAAGTTTATAACTACGCAGCATATCCCAACTAAGTTAACACACATACCTTTAGCAAATCTTAAGCTTCTTCCAGAACCCCACGGCATGCAACTTCAAGTTGGCAACTACAACCCAACAGTAATTGTGCTTTTGTTTATGTGCACAAGTGTGAATCACAACACATACCTAATATCTTCATTTACATAAAGATTGAATATAGGATTGTAATGTAGACTAGCATTTTAATAGATATTAAACTAAAATGCTAAAAGCATTGATTTTCATATTTTCAAACCAAAAAAAAAAAATTTAACTAAAAGCTTAGTTTCATCTAGAAAAAGTAGAAAAAATTCCAATGGTTGAAGAAAAATACTTTTATCTGCCCACTTGCATATGATGCTTCATTTTGTTTTAAAGAAAATAGTGGAAACTTTGCTAGTCTTTCCGTCCCAAGTAATACCAATCACAAAGGTTGAACTTATTTGAGTCCTTTTTTTACGTCTTCATATCACTGAGATTTACTTGATTGCATGTAGGTTTCTACCAACAAAGAAAAACACAAGAATGAAAACAATCTATAATGAAGTGAGAGCTCTACTAAGCAATATTATCCAAAAAAAAGAGCAGACATTGAAGGGAAATGATGGAGATAATGACTTGTTAGGAATACTATTGAAGACAAATTTAAAAGAAAGTCAAGTACAAGGAAACAAGAAGAACATCAAACTGACAATGGGAGAGGTAATCGAGGAGTGCAAGCTATTCTACCTTGCTGGGCAAGAGACCACCTCAACTTTGCTTGTGTGGACAATGATCTTGTTGAGTAAGCATCAAAAGTGGCAAGCTCTAGCTAGAGAAGAGGTTTTAACAGTATTTGGGAACAACAAACCAAGCTATGAAGGGTTAAATCGACTCAAAATTGTGAGTGTTTTCTATATAAATCAATTTTTTGAAATTTTTCTCAAATTAATAGGATTGACTAGCGCAACTATTTTTTAGCCTCTCATAAAGGGAGAGTGAGAATCTATGAAGTACCGACACTTCAAAACAAGTGCCATATCCATGTTGGACACATGGACAGTTCGGGGACACGTATGAGGCACACCACATGGATGCGTGTCCCATTATTTAATTAATTTATTTTCAGGAGACACACTAAGAACATGGCAAATTGTCTTTTTTTCAATTTTATTTAGTACTTTTAATGAATGTTGAATGTTTATTATTTTTTTCTTAGATTTAAATACTTAATAAATCATCCATAAAAAAAGATATAAACTATAAGTGTTAATTTAAAAGTATTTTTTAATAAAAAAATATAATTAAAGTTAGTTTTTGTTAATATTAATTGTTTATAGATGTAATATTATTCTAGATAACAAATAAAAATATATGAAAGTATATTTCATTGTCTGTGTCCCCATTTTTTAAAATCGCCATGTTCTGTGTCCGCATCCGTGTCCATATTTATATCCATATCCGTGTCCGTACTTCTTAGGTGAGAATGGAATATGAAAATGCTAATAGGATTGATTAGTGATGAAAAAGAGGAGTCAGTGTTAGGTAAATTGAAACTTTATGAGAGCCCAATGTAATTATGCTGAAATTGTTGGACTCGATGTATTTCCTTCAAGCTTAAAAAAGATATTAGATTAATTTACCCTAATAAAAAATAGTGGGCTAACATTGATTTCCCTGGTCACATGACATCTTAAAAAAGTACAGCTTTCCAAGGAGGTGATACTTAGGAAATAGGCAACATTTTAGTAAGATCTACAAAAACTTTTTTTTTTTTTTAATTTGTGAGGAAAGAAGAGATTTTACTAACCCAAAATAAAGAAATACTTTGAGATAATAAAAATTAGGAAGAAGATTTCATTTCTACATGATATATACCAACCATGTTCACACACAGTTAAAGCAATTTACAACCTCTCTCAAAAACCCCCAAAAAATCACTTACACAGGTTGGCATATCAACAAAAATCTAGGCACATAAACAAGGCACCACAGGAAGAAGAATTCCATGAACATATACATTGCAACAAGCACACGACTAGCTTATTCATTAACATATTACATAGGCAACATAACCAAGAGTGACTTTTTTGTTCTGTTTATTTTTTTATCTTATAACCCAGGACCAACCCCTTTCAAGTTTGATTAACCCTTTTCAAGTTAGATTAGACAAGCCCTAGGCAAACTCTTAAGAGGGGCCCTTTCACATATCTAAAAGAAAAGTTTGGGTAAAATGGTACAAACAAAAATAAAAATTAGAGGCTACTCCATTAAGGCACACAAATTTGAGCAAAACAAAACAGAGACTAGGGCACACAAATTAGGACAAATAATATGTTTCAGAAACTAGAGCAGAGACTTCCATTAAAGCATATAAATTAGAGATTATTCCATTAATGCACAAAAATTAGGGCACACATTTAGAGATTAAATTAGGGCAACAACTATGTTCTTCCATTAAAATCTGATAAAGAAAGAGAGAGGAAGCACTCACCGGCGGACATGGCTGTTCGAGTCTTCGCTGATGATCGCTAGCTGAGCTTGAGTCGCCGCTCTCGAGTTCTGATATGGCTGACTAAGAGAAGAAGAGTTTGTTCTGGATCTCGAATTCCTCGTTTTGGGTTGGGCCCTTCAGATTGGCCACTCTGAATTTTTACTTATGAATTTGCTGAGAGCCCTATTTTGAATCTAAACTTTGCCCACCTAGTTAGATTAGACATCCAAATCTGAAAATAATAAGATAAGATGCACTATTTTTCATTACTGAATTGAAATGAAAATTGTACCTCTTGTAATTTCATTTTATCCGAGCCTTAGGTCCAAATCTTATTCCATTAAAATACTCATTAACTCTCTATCAAATGCCATGAACTCTATAGTCAACAACTCTAAGCTTATCAACAAGAAAATCTAACATTACTGAACCTTGTTCTTACATTAGAGCAAAGCAACCTATTTGCAAGAGTAAGCTTAAGAAAATGAAAATCGATCACAAAATTGAATAGTTATACGTTGATGGATAAGATTTTGAAAGGAGAATTTGTTAGTGAAATCCACTTTCGGAAAATTTTATTTGTTCATATATATTTTGTGTTTAATTTTATGATCAATTTATGTCTTCATAGCATAACCCCCACTAGGAAAAAAAAAATTTGAATAATTTTTCTACAATTTTTTCATTGCAGATGACCATGATTTTCTACGAGGTTCTTAGGTTATACCCAGCAGTACCTTTACTTGTTCGAACTGTACACAAGAAGACAAAGGTCGGAAATTTTGTTCTACCTCCTGGACTGGAACTTTTGTTGTCAGTTATGTCAATCCATCGTGATTGTGAAACTTGGGGTGAAGATGTAATGGAGTTCAAGCCTGAGAGATTTTCAGAAGGAATTACAAAGGCAACAAAGACCCCAAGCACATTCCTTCCTTTTGGTGGGGGTCCCCGTAACTGCATTGGACAAAACTTTGCAATGATAGAAGCAAAAATAGCCTTGGCAATGATTTTACAACGTTTCTCATTTCAGCTTTCCCCATCCTATGTGCACGCTCCTTCCCATGTTTTTACACTGAATCCCCAACATGGTGCTTGCTTGATATTACAAAAAATTTAGGATTTGATTGATCTTTACAATAATAATATGTAAAAAGAGGATCTTAACACTGTGGTTTTCATAAATGAATAAAATTTAATATGCTAAATTCTAAGGCCTTGGAAAACTCAATGCGGACCTTGTGTGGCTTATAGAATATATTGAATGAACATGATCTTATATCTCTAAAACTATATATGTCCTTCTATCTTATATGATTCACAATTGTGTACAATTTAATATTATTTCAATAAAAATAAATAAATAAATTGTGTGATTGCGAATGTACAATGTTCAAATTTTCAAACTGTTAGAAAAATTGGTTTATATATACTTATTTTGGGCCGACTTTGAGCCCAAAATTGAGTCGGCCTCGAACATCTTTTGGGGTGGGTCCGAAGAGGTGAAGTGTTCCTTGCCGCGTGGTAAGTCACACGGTGAAGACAGTTCGTCAAAACCATTTATGAGTGAATAGGAAGTTGACGTCGTTTTCAGGTTCGAGGAATGGACATTTAAAGATTTACATGTGGGTTTCCTTTTAATGGGTTGTCCCTCATTGAAACTTTAAGAGAGTTTATTTGTGTATATAAGCTCTAGCCTATAACACTTGGGTTGGGCCCCAAGGGGCACCCCAAGTTTGTAAAAGGGAGGAATTATGGACAAAGTGAACCTTAGCCCAAACCACCACACGCGCGCCGCCGCCAGCCGAGCAGGCTGGGCTTCGGTGCGGGTGCGTGGTGTGTGGTGTGTGGTTGGGCTTGTCCAGCCCAATACTAATCTTTTTTGGTCAAAAACATTTGAATTTAATTTTATTTTTAGTAAAATAAAATCCAGAATTCAAATTAAAGTTGTTTGATTTTTTTGTACATCCAAACAGGGCCCTTCCCGTATTAAACCGGAAATAATCTGATCCGGATTTACTGTACACCCAAACAAGACCTTTCCCGTTTTTGTTATCTGTTTGAATTGTAACCCAACAGATTCAAATCTGTTTGAATTCAAAACCAACAGGTATCATACCTGTTCAATTCAAAAACCTAGAGCCACCATTCCATCTATAAATAGGACAGTCCTCATTTGGATTTTTAAACAAAAAAAAACTCTAATTTTCGTCCTTCATAATTCTGCAAACATCCTCTTCATTTTGCTACATTATTTTCTTGTCAGAGAGAGTATAAACACTTTGTGTGTTCGTTAGACAAACAATTTGTAGTGCTGCTATTGTTTGTAGTAGATCATTTTATCTTGGGAGATAGACGTCCACATTCTGAAAGCACCGTGGAGAGGATGAATCTGTCTTAAGGACACAGTGTCAAACACTGGATTTGATCAGATTATAATTCGAAGAAATTAAATCAAGTAAGTTATTTAATTAATTTTTGTGTTATTGTTATTTATTTAAATCAGATTTTAATTTTGTTTTTGTAACAAAATAAAATCTGTTTTTATTTATTTATTTTTATTATTTATTAGCTAAATTAACCGTTTTGGACACAAATGCGGATTCTGTTTTTAAGATTTGAACCCGAATTTTCAATGAAGTTTTCGGGAGCTTAGAGTTTTTTGTGTTCTGGGTATTTCAAGCATTTGCTATTGTTTGTGGTGGAGATTTTTTTATTTTTATTTTTTTTTGAGAAGTCTTAATGGCAGAATTTACAGAGGATAGACCAGTTGAGTCTACAAGCAGCTCCGCTGCTGTAAACAGCTCTAGGCGTTGAACCCCCGTGTCCTACGCTAAATTTAAGGTAAAGAAGTTTGATAGTAAAAGTAACTTCGGCATCTGGAGATGCGAAGTTAAAGATATGCTTGTCTGTGCAAATCTCATCTCGCTAAAATGCACAACTAACCAGAAAGTTGACTTCCATCTATGTGACCTATCTTCGGTAGTTAAAGCACATATTGACCTTCTATATAGATTTTCAATTTAGCAAGAAGTTGTCTCTCATGCAATCAACTTAGTTACTGGGATTTGAAATGTTGAAACTTTAACGATATCAAACAATACCTTGGTATGTTATCTTCTATTATTTTCAACACTAATTAGCTTCTCTTGTTTGTGCCCCTTCGCAGTACTAATTAGTTTGTATTCTCTGGTGCCAAGTCTCTCATGTGTGTTGAAAATGTCTTGGATCATCTTCCTACATTTTACAATATGAGCTGTTTGATACTGAATGAAGAATTTCCTGGTCGTTTAAATGGAGCTTTGATGGTCTTACTTGAAAAATCACCAAAGCTAGAGTTTCTTGATTTTGACATGTTACATCTCTGAACACCCATGATTTGGTCTATTTCTCTCTTATCACTTCACTTCTAATTTGGTATATATCTTTGATATCCAAATGCAGTTGCTAAATTGATATCATTGAATTTTGGTAAATTGGCACTTTTCATATAGGGCTTCGAGCTAAATACTAGTTTCGATGAGGTTAATTTGACGTTGGAAAGAGTACCTTCATGTTTCATGTCTTGCCTCAAAATGATTAGCATCATAGTTTTTAAAGGGACAACAGCAGAGTTTCATATGCTAAGATTTTTGTTGAAGAATGCAACCATTTTGGAGGAGATGCTGATGTTAAAGATTGGCTCAGATTTGCTTTGTTTGCTTTGTCAACAATGGCTGCTGATTGAAGAAAAAATGAAGAAGCTAGACATTCAGCTGAGCTACTCATGGTAGGGTGGCCATTCTTATTGGTGGTTGCCTATTAGTGGTTGTCTTTAATGTTGTCGATAGCTTGGCTCTCTGATTGATCTATAAATGGGTAGTGAATGGGAGGAGTTTTGTGTGGTGAGTTGAATAGAGAATACAGAGTAGAAAAAGAGAATTATAGTGTGTAATTCTTTGTTCCAAATTTAGTGAATTATGCTGCCCATAGACGTAGGCGATTTGCCGAACCACGTAATTCTTTGTGTGTTTTTGCTTGTGTGCTTTGTGTGTGATTGTTTTCTGACTCCTAGGCACAACAATTGGTATCAGAGCGTAGCTATGCCAAATTAGAGTGTCCACAACTCTATTTTCTGTAAACTAAAAAATTCAAAGTTGTCAAAATTGAGTTTTCAGCATGCCAGGACATACGTCTCGATGAGAGGAGTCCAACCTAGAAAGAATAGCCAAAACGGAGGTCGTGGTGGCCTACATGCGCTGGTCAAAGGTTGACGTATAAAGTCAACTCTAAACCAGAAGACCCAAGCGCAGCGAGAGAAAGAAGTCATCTGGCGTCAAACCATATACTTCAAATATATATTTGAAGGAAAACCAACACCAAATGAAGTTGTGTCCAAGTGGTTAAGGCTAAGCATTTCTCACCCTTGGCCAAGGTTCGAATCCTTAGGACAATAATCTTGAAAATTATTTTTGCAGCACTGCCACATCATCTCCACATCAGTGCCACATGCCAGCCCAATCACTACCACGTGTGAACCACATGGTTGCCAACTCATTTCCATGTGTTGAACCACGTCATTGACAACTCAACCATCACGGCATCACCATATCAGCATATCTACCATGACATCGTCCCAGTCAGTCGAAATTCCT